TGAGCCATGTGCTAAAACTGAATTTCACTTACCATGTTTGCCTGCCATTTTCTGACTTGCAGGTCAGAAATGTTTTGGATAACTGTAAATAAATGAATAAATAAATAAGCATTTATTTACATGATTATTAAACCTCTTCTGATTTCCACAAGCAGCAGGAAATGCAGAAAATTATAAAAGAAGAAAATTCAAGTTTGTTCAGCAATATATCAACCACAGCATGAAAACCACAGACAGGTGACGTGAATAACATTGATTATATTGTTACAATGGCACCTATCAAGGGGTGGGATATATTAGGCAGTAAGTGAACAGTCAGCTCTTGAATTTCATGTGTTGGAAGCAGGAAAAATGGGCATGCAAAAAGACCTGAGTGACTCGGACAAGGACCAAACAGTGATGGCTTTACGACTGGGTCAGAGCATCTACAAAACAGCAAGTTCCTGGAATGCAGTGATTAGTACCTACCAAAAGTAGTGCAAAAAGGACAACCAGTAAACTGGTGCCAGGGTCATGGGCATTCATGTGGATGTTACTTTGACACATACCACCTACCTACCTAGACCATGTCCACTCCTTCATGGTAATGGTGTTCCCTGATGTCAGTGGCCACTTTCAGCAGGATAATGCACCCTGTCACACTGCAAAAATTGTGCAGGAATGGTAACAGGAACTTTGACAAAGAGTTCAAGGTGATGCTTGGCCTCCAAATTCCCCAGATCTCAATCCGATTGTGCATCTATGGGATGTTCTGGACTAACAAATCCAATCCATGGAGGCCCCAACAGGATAAAAGATGTGCTACTGCAAATAAATGTACAGGGGATAATAGGGGTGCAATGCATTAGTTCTAGAGCAAGTGAAACGATGATTTTAGTGTGTTTTTAATACAGATGTTTCGAATTTACAGATATTGTGGTCTCCTTATTTAAGAAGGTACTTTTTGTGAATTTATGCCCCAGCTGGTCATGGGGCAAAACAGAATTTTTATTTTCATGTAGAAAGCAGCTGTTGAGTAAGACAACGTCAGAGAGAGACATAGACTAGCTCATGCAAGGAAGCGTGGGAGGATCTTCCCCATAGGGACTGTCATGTGAGTTTCCATGTCTTCATTGGTTGTAAAATGTAATGCAACTACAATCTACACATTAATTAATGCTTTATTATACTTTTATCATTTTGTCGACCAAAACATTTTCTGCTACGGTTTTTTTCTTCTGCAATGCATTTGAAAACACTCCCTTGATGTCAGATATACAACTCTATTTTGAGAGGGTATCATTTGTTTTAAATATACAGAACTAATATTGAATATCTTTTAACTGATGCTTTGAAATGAGTTTTGCATATCATTAACTTATTTACATTCTATCAAAAGCATCTATACATCCTAATTTAGGATAGCTCGTTTGTCTCTTTTAACAATTTTTGTCAGTGTCTCTACATTTGTTTATTTTTTTCAAAAAAAATGTTGTTTAGTCAGTTTAATTGTCATTTCGTTGTAACACCATCAGTTTAAGCAATTGGAAATGAGTTACAGTGAAATCAGTGAAAGCGCCATCTCTCCGAGGGACAGCAGAAGTTGACATCTCTGGAAAAAATATAAAGAAATAAAAAGATAGACCTATATATCCAATACATGACAATACAGCACAATTTTCAAGACTATACTGTACTTCTTGGAATTGTTTGACTAGCTACAGGCGTACCGAAAAAGAAGAACTAACACTGGCATTCCCAAAAAGAGCGAAACCGAAACGATAAGAGCGAATATAAGATGTTACCTCCGCTGCATCATCATCTCAAATCACTGCTGGCGACTGAGCAATCAAGTGCTGATTTTCAAACAGAGGTAAGAGACGATATCACGTACCAGATTCAAAGTGGCTTAACTGTAAGCATAATATGTTAGTTATTATAAATAGTTCTACTGAGGTTGATCTCTGACGTGAAATTTGATTAATAAACACGTTGGCGGATGAAACCGTGATAGCCCGTGTTTTATGATACATCATTGTATCTGCATAATATTGAAGGTTGGCCTACCACTACTTTGAATGATCGGACAGTTTCACTCTCCATTCTCCCAGATGTTTCGGCGGTGTCTGACTCCTCTGTGCATCCTCATCCTCATCTGTATGGTGTCTACAATCTCCTCCTCCCCTCTTGGCCACAGGGGAGCGCTGTCCTTCTCCAATTCACTGCGCCTCACTCGCGCTATTCGCGCACGTGTCCAACAAGTGCTGTCTCGCTACGTAAGATAACTAAACACTGTTTGCATAGAAACCGTAACATATTAACGACAATATTATTAGTATTGTAACATTATATTATTATCCAGTTCGTATCTAAATGTTAATACAACGCGGTGTTTTTTTGTTTTTGTTTTTTCACAGAAACAGCAGCTGTTTGGTGACGAGCTCTTTGAATACAGAGAGCTGATGTTGAGCACACTTCCAGCGGTCACTGTGAGTTATCAGACCTGGCTACACATGCAGGTGCGGATCATATCTTTATCACGTATTTAGTTATTTTACTGCATGACAATATTTTCTAATAGTATTTGTATTGGTCAGGACAATGAGCGTTTGCATTTGGCCTCTCACAACCTCCAAACCTTCTGGACTCACCTGGAAGGTCAACGGCAGCAGCTGGAGAGAGAGAGGGATGCGACGAAAGAAAGAAGAGAGCAGAGAAGAGGAAAACGAGGAAAGCCTCAGCCCAACTTGTGCCAAAGTTTTGTTAGTCTGCAAATAGATCTGCGGGACTTAATGAAACAAGTCAACTCTCAGGTACAAGTGCGCACTTGTTAGATACGTAATCACTTCCCAGCCAACAGTAGGTGATTCGGTGACAAAATATCACAACTCCCCTGAGCAACGCATCATGACCCCTTTAAGTTGCAAAACAAGGGGGCTCTTGCCAGAATATCTACAAAAATCCCAAGGGGATTTTTTTAGGGTATATAGAAACTATTTGTGATATATTTAAATCTAAGAATACTAATATTAAAGACTTTGGAATGTAGCCTAGTGTTTAGTCATATTTGTCTGATCTGTCTTGTGATCTCAGTGTGATCATTTTTTAACTGGTTGGCTATATAAATTCCACTTCTTTATTCTATTTTTTTATACTTCTAAATAATAATATTACATTAGAATATTACTAATATTATTAGAATATTACAATAATTATGTAATATTTTAAAGCCAGGGATTCAGCCACGTGTCAGATATGAATTATATATATATATATATAACTAAGTAGAGTTATTATGTGTGTTACCAAGAAAATCTAGCGTTTTGGAACAAAAACAACATGCTGACAGATTAAATTATGCTTAATCATGCAGATTACTAATGCTTTCTCTCTGTCTATCTGCAGTTAAACAGTCTGAGTGTCACTGCATCCACAAGGTCCCCACTTCTCCATACCCTACACTCAACTTCATCTTCCAATCCGATTCCCAGCATGCATCATTCCACAGAGAGCACCACTGTACTCCAAACCCCAACTCAGATGAATAATCCTCGCAGTTCCACACACTCCTCTACTTCAACGATGGAGGAGACCTCTGTCAGCCTCCTACAACCCACCCAGGCATCAGCAGCCTCTACTTTCACAGGAAGCCAGCTATCTGTGGATACCCAGCAGACAACAACAGCAGAGACGTCCCGTTGGATTCAGCATCTGAGAGGGTATGTGATACTGAGAGATCTGGAACGGTACTTGAGCAGATTGGCACGAGATTATGCTGTGCTCCAAGCTAAACACTGACAAACATGCATAAGCAAATCAACAAAGCTGGGAAAAAAAAAAAAAAAAAGATTTCCAAAGTATTACACAGGATTGAATTATAAAAACAAAACCAAGGAAATACATGATTGAATACACTAACATTCATATCCTTAAACATTTTCATGTCACAGTTTCTGTTTACCTTGCTCAGTAATTATTTTATTTATGAAAATAATTACTAGTTTTTTTTATTTACTGTTTGTTTACAAGTAACTGAACAGATATTTGCCTTAATGTGTGAAGACTTTTTTTTAAAAACTGCATTTCTGTATTTTATATTTAAGTATTTGGAGCATTTTCCAGGTATGGGATAAGTCTCAGGGGGGTGAGCACATCAGCAGGCAGCTATTGTAGGTTATGAAATTGCCAAGCAGTGTTATTTGACCACTAAGTAACTGGGAAAAAAAAAAAAAAAAGTATTGCACAAGTATTACACAGGATTGAATTATAAAAACAAAACCAAGGAAATACATGATTGAATACACTAACATTCATATCCTTAAACATTTTCATGTCACAGTTTCTGTTTACCTTGCTCAGTAATTATTTTATTTATGAAAATAATTACTAGTTTTTTTTATTTACTGTTTGTTTACAAGTAACTGAACAGATATTTGCCTTAATGTGTGAAGACTTTTTTTTAAAAACTGCATTTCTGTATTTTATATTTAAGTATTTGGAGCATTTTCCAGGTATGGGATAAGTCTCAGGGGGGTGAGCACATCAGCAGGCAGCTATTGTAGGTTATGAAATTGCCAAGCAGTGTTATTTGACCACTAAGTAATTTTAGTTAATAAAATTATTACTTGAATGTATATGGCTCTGTTTGAAGGGTAAGCACGTAACAAACAGCAAATTATTTTTTTTATATTGGACAATTTAACTGAAACAAAAAAAGGGTTAGTCAGCCATTCTGAAGATCGAAATTCCCCAAACACCCCACTTCCCTCCTCCACTGATAATCAGCGAATCAGAGGTCAGAATGAGATTAATTTGACATCCCCTTTTTGTTGTCATTCCCCTGTACTTTCCACCTTGTCTTATTTATTAAATTATTTATTTTATTGATGTGAAATATGTGCCAAATATTTTTCATACGATATTTATTGTTCATAAATAAGTGCATATGTACTTCAGTATATGTACTGAATAAAATGACTAAGAATCACTTGTAGTGCATGTGTATTTGTGTGATAGTTTTTTTTTTTTTACATACAACAGATGGTAAGTGAAGTCATATTGAACACTTGATGCAGACATGTTGTGACTGATCTCCGTTTCAAAACACCTGAAAAAGCAGGATTTTTTTGCATCTGTCTGAAGTCTTTAGAGATTTAATAAAGCAAACCAAAAATAACACATTAAATATAATGCATTTAATCTTTTTTTTTTTTTTTCAAATTATTCAATAACAATTGAGTTGTGCTTTTGTATTTACATTTTAAAATATCATCTAGTTAATAAGAACTCTTAAAAATACTCTGTAGTATATCTGCATAGTAAAGCTTGAATTATTAACATAACTGAAAAAACAAAGATTCATTTAATTGGTCAGATGAGAGAAAATACAAAATGAACTCATTTAATTAAAAATCTTCATTAAAAGCATAATCTAAATTCAATATTCAGGAAAAAAAAGATTGCAAATGTCCTTTAATATACACTTGCTAACGTGCTTTTGGAGTGAGACTGAAATGAATCATAAAAGGGTAGTCTGGCTCTGTGTAGTGATTGGCTAAACCACTCCTGTGAAATGATCTGTCCGCTGCTGGTGAGCTGTCATTGGCTGTTCATGAGATTCGTGGGGTGGTCTAAAAAAGAGAGACCAGGGTAATCATGTTTACTTGAAAACAACATTTGCAAAATAATCCATTTTATTTTAACCCCTCTGAACTCTCCTCCTTAAATCCCATTACCTGCTTCTTTTTTTCTGCCAAACTCTTATAAACTTTGTTGTTTGTCTACCCTTCTAACCAAAACCACTGCATTCTTCAGCCCTGTATTTCTTTATCAGTAAATGTGTGATTCTCACCACAGACAAGTGTCCATTCTTGGTCTTGACAACTCGCAGGTCCGAACCACTGGTGAAATCTATCACTCCCTCCTTTCCCCTCGCTATGGCAAACCTGATACTGGAGAGTAAAGCTTCATCAGATTGAAAACTGTAAACATGCATATACTGTACATATACTCGCTGTAAACTAAACTAAAATTAAATACAAATACAATGACAACACAAAGATAAAAATATACACACTTCTGTTCAAACGTTTGTGGCTGGTACGATTTTTTCCAGTGTTTTTGAGAAGCCTCTTATGATCCCCAAGGCTGCATTTATTTGTTCAAAGACACAGTAATGTAACTTTGATCCTATGATGGAAAAGCCACTACTACAGTCTCAGTGTCACATGATCCTTCAGAAGTCATTCTAATATGATGATTTAGTGCCCAAAAACATTCATTATTATTATAAATGTTGAGAACAGTTGTGCTACTTAATATTTGTGTGGAAACCATTATTTTATTTTTAGGATTCTATGATTAATAGAAAGTAAAAAGTATTTATTTTATATAAAAATCCTTTGTAACATTATAAATTCTTTACTGTCACTTCTCATCAATTTAATGTATCCTTGCTGTATTAAGTATTAATTTTTTTATTTAAAAAAGAAAAAAAGAAAATCTAACTAACCCCAAACTTTTGAATGGTAGTGTATAAAAAAATTAGCACAAGACTTGGTGATGTAGACAGAATTTTGCTATTCAAGGGATCCTGGATTGAAAACCCACAAAGTATGCAACTTTCAACACATCAAGAAAATGTCAGATCGTCAGAGAAATGAAGTAAGATGTATGCAGGGACGGTGCTCATGCTTTTCTAGAGAACATCACCACCACTCCCAAACACTATTACAGGTCTATTACTGGATTTGCCTCTGTACGCGCACACACACACACACACACACGCACACACACACACACACACACACGCACGCAAACACACACACCTGTCCTGGTCTATTAAGGGATTTACCATTCTGCACGCACACATACACACACACCTGTCCTGGCTGATGTTGACATTGTGTATCTTGTCTGCCATGATGGCCAGCTTGGTGACAGCCTCAATCACATGATCGCATTGCAGCACTAGGTCACCCTAAAGGTCAGAAGGTCAAAGTGAAACAACTGCACAACCAATACAATCACAAATCATAACAGTCTTCTCTCACCTTCTGCTTACTGTCAGTGGAGGGAATATGCAAAACAAAGAATCCGTCACTGAGGGAACTAAGAGAGATACCTACAAAAAGAAACAAACCAAGATTGTATAGTATTGTGTGAAGTGTTACCCAGAAAGAGATTAATGGAGCACTGGTTGTGTGTCACTGATGAGAATTTATGGGTTGAGTACTAGGGAAGAGTATGATTACCCAAGAATTAGATACAGTGAAAAACAGGAGTATGAAACTTTAATAAGCTTGGTTGTAGTACAGTATTGTTAGGCAACAATGGAGAGAGCTTTATTACAGTAACATTACCCAGCAATGTGCCGTAGTCGATACGTTGTTTGATTTTTGCTTCCTGGACCAGCACAGCAGATGAAGTGGTCAACAGCAGCTGACGCATACGAGCGCGGAAACCATGGCGATCGTACTTAGTGACCGCTACACCATACTGAAAAATAAAAGAATATACAATCAGATTCGCAACCCCTCTAATATTAGCAGAAAAATGATAAATACTGGCCATTGTTTTGTGGTAAGGTGGATCTGCAGGAGCCATTTATACTTTTTATTTTATTTTATTTTATTTTTTTGTCCATTTTCTCTAAGGTTTTTTTTTTCTGGAGTCTGTGTGCGCCCTCTACAGGAGAAACAACAGGATGAAGCCACAGGTGTTGAGATGGCTTGTTCTGCTGGAAGCATGTGATCTTTAGACCTTTTTTCATTTACAGTTCAGAATGTCGTTGCAGTTTATATTGTAGGTTGCATCAGTTTATTTCAAATACTGTAACATTCAAAATGAATAAACAAACTTCAACTTAACCTCATTCATTGTGGACTTTAATGAACACTACAATGGAACCTTGTTACCAAACAAAGTAGCATTAAAAACTACCCAGTGGGCCCTAGAAGTGACTAAGGACTTCACTATGTTTTTAATGGTCACTGCATAGTACATTTCGATGGAATACACACAAACATTCAGCTTTATTTTCACACAAATGTATAAAAACAAATTTACCTTCACCTTGTTGTCATTCCCAAGAGTTTGCAGCACTTTGAGATTGATCTCTTCAGCTTCTGTGGTAATAAAAATGTGTCAGTTTCTGTATTTGTGTATGTATTTGTGTTTTTCAGCAAAGACATTTTTCATGTGTGTGTGTGAATATTACCTAGCCTGGTGGCTACAAAGAGTTTGGGAACACTTCGAGGGTAGCAGTCCTTCTGGCCCCTAAAGATCGCACTGGCTACAACCTTCTGTTCCAACTGCAGACAGTATGAAATTAGTTATGTTTATCCATGTATGTGTGTGTGTGTGTTTGCTCTTGTATGAATGCAGTACCTGCTTCTTCCACTCTGGCTGGATTCTCCTGCAGTAGTCATTGACCAGGTTGCGAATGCACATCCTGTGAAGGTGCTCAGATGCCTGTGGAGGAAAACAAAGTTGTACATACACTACCATTCAAAATTTTGGGGGCTTTTTGGGGGGATTTTTAAAAATGTTTTTGAAAGAAGTGTTTTATACAATCTGTTATATAATTATAATATAAAATAACTGTTTGTATTCTAATATATTTTAAAATGTCATTTATTCCTGTGATGGCAAAGCTGAATTTTCAGCAGCCATTACTCCAGTCTTCAGTGTCACATGATCCTTCAGAAATCATTCTAATATCCTGATTTGGTGCGCAAGAAACATCTCATTATTATCAATGTTGAAAAAATTATGTTTTTTTGTTTGTTTTATGTTTAGTTCAAATACATATATTTAACGCATCCTTGCTGAATAGTAAAAGGATTCATTTTGAACATTAGTGTAACCACAACTACATCCTCAAAACACTGATTTGTTCAATCTCCAGTTGGTCTGACCAAACAGAGATCAGTGGTTCAATTTAGTAACATACCTTATCATATATTATTATCATACCTCAGTGAGTGAGGGCGGTGGTCTTGGCCAGCTCTTGTCAAGCACACTTTTTGGCAGATTTCGTTTCACTTTCATCAAGAAGGAGAATCTCACATGGTCCAAGAAGTACGCATTGTCAGGGCAACGAGGCTCATTGCGCAGGATGAAGCCTTTGATGAACCTGTGGAATTAAGCAAGGACAAAATCAATGATTAAGGAAGGACGAAATCAATGACACAACCAATGTAACTCATTCACCTACATGATACAAATACTCTCATACTTGCGTATAGTGTCAGCTGCTTGTCTACGATGCATGGCTTTCCTTCGCCCTTTGACTCCTCTCCACCATGACTGGATAACAATTACTGCAAGATGAAAGAGACAAGCAGACTGGCTGTTGCCTTCCTTCGCTATGCCTGTCTGTCTGTGTTTAGGCTATTGTCAAGGTTACCTGCATGTCGGATCTGGTGGTACTTGGCTCGCTCCCTGTAGCCCCGCCAAGATGTCTGCAGAGTGACAGCTTAAAAACAATCCAATACTGTAAATGTATTAATTATATCATAATAACACTCAGCAAAGGAAATTTTTCGGCAAAAGCAAATGATCTCAACTTTACAAGTAAGTGATTGCAGTGAAGGAACATTATCATCATCATCATCACAGTTTTACCGATGGTTTGTTTCTTGGCCTCAAGTGCATCCTCAGTCACAAACAGAGTCCTTGGGAAGCGGATAAAGATTTTGCACCTAAACAGAAAACAAACCAAGATACATTTTTTAAATTCAATCATTATCATCCCAGCTCTTCCACTGCTGTCCCAGAGCCAGAAAAAAAGGATCTCCTGACCCCTTTTGATTTTTGTCACTATTTTCAGGGACAAAAATTACAGATGCATTAAATTGATCAAAAATGAGGTATCGTGATGTTATAAAATATCTCTATTTCAAATTAATGCTGCTCTTTTGAATTTTCTATTCATCAAGGAATAATGAAAAAATGTATCACTGTTTCCACAAAAATATTAAGCAGCACAAATGTTTTCAACATTGATAATAATAAGACTTGTTTCTTGAGCATCAGTCAGCATATTAAAATGATTTCTGAAGGATCATGTGAAGACTGGATCATGGCTGCTGAAAATTTAGCTTTACAACCACAAGAATAAATTACATTTTAAAATAGAAAATAGTTATTTTAAATTGTCATAATATTTTACAATATTACTGTTTTTTAAAGTTCATCCTTAGTGAGCATAAGAGACTTCCCTCAAAAACATTAAAAATCTTTTATCTTTTAACCCCTCACCTGCCCAGTTTGTATTCTTCAGGTTTGTAGTTGAGGTGTTTGACCAGAGTGGCGACCCCCTCTGGGAGTTTCCCACGCCAGTTTGGCCAGGTGTCTGGACACAGAGACTTATACCTGTGCAAGAAACAAAACACAAAACAAAGTAAAGAAACATGGCCCTCTGTTAGCAGAAACACTGGTTGCATGAAAAATCAATGCGTCTGAGAGACCGACCTCTCTAAGAACACCTCATAGTTCCGTCTGTATGCAAATCCAGCTCTCCTTACTCTCAGATTCTCCATCAAACCCAAATACTTCACCTGATGCCTGACCAAAACCTCATCAAATCTACCTGAAAAAGCAGAGGAAGAGGAAGGAGGGAGAACAGCACGCTCAATGTCAGTAACATCAAAACAGGGAAATACAAGCACATTAGTTGGTGTGTGCAATTTATTGGTCTATCAATACAACACACATATGCTTTTACCAGGCTGTTTAGCGTCATTGGGTTTTATGCAGCGGACATACGATGGTTCCTTAGACATCAGAATCTCCATCAGTTTAGCTAAACTGAGCTTGAACTGTGTGGCAGCCTGAGCAGAGACAACAAGACTTCATTTCTTTTTATGTTTATGTACAGTATGTGTCTGTATGTGTTTGTTCATCTAACCGTCTCTGGTCTTCTCTGGTCCATCAACTCATCTGCATGGAAACACTGACTGACAATGTGATTCCCCGACTGACACAGCACCTGCAATGAGATACAGTGGGTTTAGAAACATATATTTTTCAGCCATACCATCTTGCTCACATTGTAGTAAACACACTGTACCTCCTTCAGGTGTCTGTACAGCAGATCATTATTTTTGTCCAGAAACCCTGAAAATAGAGGGATAAAAACTACAATCACAGCACCAAAAAAATTAACTATGGTGGACAGATGGATGAAGGGATGTTCTCTCCTCACCACTGACGTTGTAGTTAACCTCTCCAGCATAATGAACAAGTCTAAATTCCTCTCTCCCAATTGCCTTGCGGATCTTCCCGTTGGCCATTTTATGACTGGAACATAAAATGGACAAATCAGATACCAGACAAAATCCCAGTAATATCTTAGACATCAGTCATGCTGCTTCAACAATGGAGACACAGAGAGTATGCCAGTGGTCCTACGTGACAAAATGGGCATGGCCACCCAGTGTGTCCTCCAACTTCTCCAGGAAGGTGATGTCACTGGCATCTCCTCGTCTTAAGCACTCCTCATCCTGATTACAATAAATTAGATTAGTTGATTTCAGTTCAATTTGGATGAACATACAATCCTCATATTTAGAAGAACACACAGACAGACCAGAACGGCAATGATGCCTTTATGTTTCTCCTCCACCAGGTCACAGATGATTTTGTTGTTGAAATATTTCACTCTCTCCCACTGGCCAAAACACAAGGAATGCAATTTTTACACAAATACAACAAAAATGAAAGAAAGAAATGTGAGCAGTCTGTCTACACACCAAGGCTGCATTTATTTGAGCCGGAAAACAACAACAGCAAACACAGTAATATTGTGAAATATTATTACAATTTAGGTTTTCTCTTTCAATATATATTAACATGTCATTTATTCCTGTTATGCAAAGCTGAATTTTCAGCATCATTACTCCAGTCTTCAGTGGCACATGATCCTTCAGAAATCATTTTAATATCCTGATATGGTGCTCAAGAAACATTTATAAGTATTATCAATGTTGAAAATGTGTCTTTTTTATATACAAAAATACCGGTAAGTCTAATACAAGTACATAAGTCTAAACAGAGGGTTTTGCTGTTCATAATAGAGGGCTCTCCTCAGCACTTAATTTAAGGGATAGTTCACCCAATGATGACAGAATTTTACTTTTTTGGGTGAACTATTCCTTTAAATAATAAAAGTTAGTTATTAATGGAAATGTTTTAGAAATGTATTAATGGAAATATTTTCAACGTAGGTGAACTCATGCACTGATTTTTGTCTTATTTTTCTCCCACACACTCACCACGATCCCCTCCGCCTCATACTCCTCCTGTTCACTTTTCAGTGTGAGCTCAATAAACAGCTGCTGCAGTTTTTCATTGCAGTAATTAATGCAGAACTGCTCAAAACTATAGACAGAAAAAAGAAAGAGATGAATGCCCTTATTAATTATTCCTTACTTCCATTCTCGTATCTTATGAGTGTAATAATAATACTAATATGTAATTTTATTTTCATATTTTCTTTAATGTCATGTTTTTTAATGATGCAAATAAACTATTTCTATTTTACTATTTCTTTAGCTAAGTTTCGACAGTCAAAGAGCGAGAGAGTGAGTCAAACGCACCTGTTGTGTTGAAAGACCTCAAATCCATATATGTCCAGCAAACCAATAATTGAAGAACATTTACTGGAGTAGTAGACCTCATCCTGTAAAAACACAAAAATATGATCATCTTTATAATCACTCCATTAGAGGGCACATCAGAACCGAAAAAAGCACACTAAGCTCCAGTTCATACATGCGTGATGACATTCAGACAAATAAGCCCACTTAAGTAAAGCAGGGGCACAGTCCTCATCGACAGAAAGTAGAAACACACCTTAAAGGCCAATGATCGGTTTAACTTCTGGACAAGCCAGGTAAAGGCACGACCATATATGGCTTTGGCCAAAGAGTCCCGAGCAGAGAGAGCCTGTTCTAAACTCAAGGGACTGATCATCTGAAATCAAACACACACACACACAAATAACTGTTTGTTCATCTACTAAAAGACAGAATGCATGAGAATATAAGCAAAGATCAAGTGTGTTGAAATCTGAAAGCAAGACAGAACAGACAGAGAGATATTGTGATATTACCTCCTCCCCTTTGGCAACAATTTTCTTGTGAGTAAGAGCTTCTTGCAGGACTGACCCGTCCACACCCAGCAGCTGTTGACAGAAAAAAATAAGGCACATTCTCTGCATCTATGTATGTGTGCAGGACATCAGGTGGACAATTGTAACACTAAACAACAGTGTGATCATTTCAGCTTTTTCAAACAAACAAAACACTTTCAACAAAAAGACTTAGGGATATAAAAAATTTTTTTTGGATTTGTAATGTTGCCTTTGAATTCAAACTAATATCTATTTTAGGTATTCAGACAGGTTTCAGACAGATGCTGTCACTCTAGCTGGTACATGCCATACGAGATTTCATCATGTCTGTAAGATCAGGAGCAATTGTAACACTAGTTATTAAGTTCAACTTGTATGAATGAATGGAGAAATTGGATCTTTAAAATGTGTGATGACCATTATTTCATTAAAGTATCTAGTTTCATATTATTTTAGAAAAAGGTTAAACTTATACAAAATAATTACATTATTTTAATTATAATATAATATTTAATTGTAATTATAATCCAATCTTTATGTTCATTCTATTAACTGTAAAGAAGTTTTGCCACAAATAAGTATTTCTTTTACAAAAATATGGTAGGTAGATTTGCAGGAGTCTGTGACTTATAATGGAAAAAAATATTTCAATTGCCGAGGTCTCCCCTGTTTAACCTGACATCTTTATCTGAAATGGAGATATAAATCACTTTTAATTAAGCTTTGAAAAGTGTACATCTTAAAACAGAGAACAGCCTCAGGACACTCTGCTCTTCACAAAATAGCACACAACAAACCTGAGACAAGTGACTCTAATGAGACAGGTATCTAATTCCCCAGAAACAGGTATAAAGTTCAGACACATACTAACATATCACTTGAGACAGGACATTAACTCACTTACAGCATGAGTGCTCAGCTCACCTGGGACAGATATTGCAGTTGGGGTCCAGTGGTTATGTGTGTCTCTCCCTCCTCATCTTCACCGAACTGTATGTTACCCAGATGTAAAACACTGGCCACAATCTCCATCAGCTCCTAAAGAGGAGAGGGACTTTGTAAGTGTGTTTCCTGACTGTGACAGACAATCTTGAATGTCCAAAGGGTTTGGGTGTGCACACCTGTATCTCCTCCTCATTAAAGCCAATGATGGTGAGAGCGTTTCTCACAACTTTCCAACCATTCTTATCATTGATAGAGCTCACCCGTGGACAGTTACCCTGACAGAGAGAGAGTATGTTACATACAAACACATACACACACCACTAACACGCAAACAATAGCCATGGCCTGATAATGGTAGACAAATCTGCTCTCTTTCACGGACACATATAGTCACAATGAACATAAACACCTTAACCAGGTAATGATAATGTTGTGGGTTGGTTTTCTCCAAACCGAGTCTCTTCAAAAGAGGTTCTTCTCCACCCTCCAGCAGCTGATAGAAGATGTGGAAGTTTCTCTCACCATGGTTCTGATGGGCCACACGGGATTTCTCTAACAGGTAGTTTAGGATGTGACCTCCAATTGGAGCTCCCTGAACAAGACAGAATCAGAAAGAATTGTTTATAATGGTGCACAAAATTTGAGGCTTTGTGTATAAGCCTATGACAATAATCTCACAATGGCCAAATATTTTCTGAAATATGAAATATATCAGTCTTTTGCTAAGGTGAACAGCTGAAATGTAGACCAGTAAATTTGGGCTGGATTTAAGCAAAGGTTTGTGGTCTTAAACTAAGAAGTGTGTTCCATTTACCTTATAGTCAAACTGAATGTCCATGTATTTCCCAAAACGACTCGAATTGTCATTCCGGAGAGTTTTAGCATTCCCAAAAGCCTGTTGTGACAGAGTGATAGTGACATTTAGCAAGCTGTGTACAGAGGACCCTTGCAGTGTTTGTGTGTGCTCACCTCCAGTACTGGGTTGGACTGCAACAGTCTCTCTCTGATAGTGTGTGTGTTGTTGCGGGTGGGACAGATGTGTGTGTAGTACTGAAGTATTTTTTTGGAGGCCTCAGTCTTTCCAGCACCACTCTCTCCCGAAATCAGAATACACTGATTTCGTCTCTCAGTCCGCAGTGCACGATATGAATTATCGGCCAGGGCAAAACTGAAGTCACACAAACAGATACAGACTCACTCACATATAACAAAACCAGTTACAGTTATAGGTTTCAAAGCCATGAACGTTTCTTCATGTGTGCACACACTTAATGTGTAAAAATTGCAAAATCCTATGAAGTCCTTCAACAAGCACAGTTTTCTTTCCTGTATTTTCATATTTTCTTCCCGTTTCTACGGGAAGGATTTCAAAATTTTTTTAATGAGTACAGTATGTGGGTTTGGGTGTGTGGGTGTATGTGTGAATGGAAAGTTGCATGCATGGTCCAGTCTCCAGAATCTCCAGGAAAGTGAGTCATACTAAGAGAATTGGCTGAATGTTCTCAGGGATTCTCACGGCCATAACATGCATAAACACACACACACACACACACACACACACACTTAACACTCACATGTGAGGTGAGATCTCATAGAAATTGACTCCTCTGTGTCGCTCCATGTTCTGTTTGGAGTAAATCTCCAACTCTCTGTAAGGATTCACTGACACCAGCACTGAGCCAATATACGTCTTATGAAGACAGACAGATAAAGAGGTAGAAGGAGAGAAAGAAAGGTGGATCAAAGCAGAAAACAACATAGTTAATGTAAAGTACCATTCAAGAGTTTGGGGTCGATAAGATTTTTAAGTCTTTTTGAAAGAAGTCTCTTTTGCTCAGCAAGTGATCTAACTGATTGGACTTATGGTTTTCATAAAACTGAACATTAAAAATCATAAAAATCCCATAGACTTACATTGACGGAATGTTCAAATGAGCCAAGACTATTCAAACTCCAACTGTCAAAATTCAAACTTAAACTCCCAGAAATGCCTTGAGAATCAATCAAGCTTCCCTTCTATGTACTATTTCTGATACATTTAAACTCAATTAATCTATCTATCTATAATCTGACTATATCTATCTATCTATCTATCTTATACTATCTATCTATATGGTTCTATCATTCTATGTACTATTTCTAATCTATCTATCTATCTATCTATCTATCTGTTAGCAACATGCTAATCATGCCAGAATCATGCTTGCAACATGCTAATCATGCTGGAAACATCATAGCAACTTGCTAGCTATTAATCATGCTACTGTACTGTAGAAACATGCTAGTGACAGGCTAATCATATTAGAAACATCATAGCGACATGCTAATCATGCTAGAAACATACTAGCAACATGCTAATCATACTAGAAACATGCTAGTGACAGGCTAAACATGCTAAAAACATCCTAGCAACATGGTAAACGTTAAAAACATCCAAGCGACATGCTAATCATGCAAGAAACATGCTAACAACAGGCCAATCATGTTAAAAACATGGTAACAACATGCTAGCGACATGTTAATCATGCTAGAAAAGCGACATGCTAGTGACATGCTAATCATGCTAGCAACTTGATACAAATATGTTAACGACAAGCTAAAAACATGCTAGAAACATGGTAAAACATGTTAAAACATTCTAGCTATGTGCTAATTCATGCTTTAAACATGCTATCTATCTATCATCTGACAATATCTATCTTTCTGACAGACTGTATTGCCTTCAAAACATTCAAACTTTAAGCTTTAAAACTACTTTAAACTTCAAACTATTTCAAACTGAAAAGCGTCAAACTTTAGAAACTTTTTAAAAACTTTTTCAAACTTTCAGGCTACGCTTTTTCAACCCAACTTCAAAGTTTTTCTAGACAAACTTTTTTATCTAGTTATATTATATAGTAATATGGTGTTTGTGTATGACTTACATAAATGAGGCCCTCTCTGTACCGGCGGCGTAGGTTTTCAATGAAAGCAGCTTCGCTGTTGTAGTTCTCCAAGAGCAAGAAGTCTTGGACGCCGACCCGATCTCTTGCCGAGAGAGCGCTCTCCATCACTAACCTTACACCCCCCTCTACACCAACCTCCTATCGAGAGACAAGGTGATATAGAAAGTAAATAAACACAAAGAGAACACTGATGCAAACACTTACAACACAGCAGAGCCACAATACGTTCACTTACAACCAGGCCCACATGGAATCCGCGGCCGCAGAAATTCTGAAAAAAATTCCACCGATTTACACAGAATTGGAACCCCTGTCATTCACAAAGTTCTGCACATCCCTGCCCCTTGTGTGGTTGTTTATAAAATGCTTTGAGTAATTTGTTAACATTGTCAGAATTCTGCAGATTGCAAAAATGCAAACATAAAAGTCTGGAGATTCCCTCTGAAACTGTTAATAAGTAAATAACACAAATATACATTATATATATATATATATATATATATAATCAGAAAAAGTACAAATCAATTACAAAAGTACAAAAGACAAACAACACACATTCATGCGAGTACAAATTCACTAAGGAAGGGTGCCATGGAAATATTTGGCATTGGCTCCTGACACACAAACACAGTTGTCTGTTTTTCAGAGTTAGTGCTAGTACCTCTGCATGTGAATCCAGTGGAAAATCTGGCAAGACTTTAAGTGTTTGAGGATGTGTGTTTTTGGAGTGGGTTCAGAGAGAGAGAGAGAGAGAGAGTGTGTGTGTGTGTGTGTGTGTGTGTGAGAGAGAGAGCGAGAGAGAGACAGGAAGGTCACCTGTGGAACCTCATGCTAGAACAATAATCTGCTGGGAGTAATATTGTGTGTGAGTGGATGTTCACTTTCCTTGGCTCTGCTCCACTGTTGTTCCACAGATTCTTTTCCAATTACTTAGTGATAAGGGTCTCCTAAAATGCCTAACAAGATTTTAACAACTCACCAGATATCCCCCTCCCCACACACCTGCACTTTTAAATCTTTCCTTTTGCCATTTTTAATCCATTGTTCTCTTTGCCCTGTGTGTGTGTGTGTGTGTTTTGTGTTCTCATGTACTTTTACACAGTAGGATACAGACGTACACACACACACGAAAACAAGCTTCAGCAGATAATGATATCTGTCTCTAAAATTAATTCCTTTTCTCATTGTGCCCCTCATGTTTTCTGTGTTCCATTTGGGGTGTTTAAATTGGCCATGTTTATAAAACCAAACAAGTTTAAAACTTCAAATTCAAAAAAAGAACCCATCAACAACTCAAAAACAACTTAATAATAATGTATCCAAAGCAACTTACAGTGCATTCAGGCTATACATTTTTACCAGTATGTGTGTTCCCTGGGAATCGAACCCACGATCTTTTGCTCTGCTAACGCAATGCTCTACCGCTGAGCCACAGTTACACTTCTGTGACATTTATTTTTATGATGTAATGGACATGGAAGTGTAATCATATATTTTTTTTAAAATCATGATTTGTTTTTTATAGTTAATGTTTTGGCAAGTTACATCAGTTTCTGATCTTGAGTGTTGTTAACAAAACTTGTTTGAGCCGATTTGGCACATTGAAGATTCATTAGCTCAACTGAAGCCAAGTTTGGAATGGTTTTGACTTAAAAGCTTGTTTAGGAACTATGTGCACAGATTTTATTTTAAAGATGAGATGTGTTATCTTGCGCTCAACAAACAAAATTGCAAAAATAAAGACTGATTTCAAATGATTTCCCAAAATGTCTATGTGAGTTCCCAACTGCACCTATAAAAGCCGGTTCAAAGCCACGTTAAACTGCACTCTCAATGACCAAGCAATTAATGACCTGGCATGACATAAACTTTTGACTATGGTTCAGATTAGAGCTTGTTCTGGCAAAAAAACTGCCAAATAAGACTGGAAACTGACATATAAACTGAACAACCACACTTTGTCTTTTTTATATGTGTAGTTAAGGGGTAGGTAAATGAAACTGAAGATGTAACAATCATAGACTGACACGGAACAATGTTGTTACTCATTTCAATACAGATCCACCAGCCTCCAGGTAAGACTGATGCAGGATTGTATTGAATATGCTTGTTCAGAGATGCAAAGCTGATGGGTGGAAGTGACTATTAGAGAAATACTGAATACATCTAGGCTCGGCTTCAGCTTAGTAGGAGAGGGAGTTTTGCAAGGGCCAAGCACATGATCCAGGCCTCCCTGTGGAGTTGGGCCTGTTAACACCTAGTATTAACATCGGTCCCGGGTGATTTGATCACAATTGGTCAGCCGAGACACATTGCTGTTTACACCTGGTGTTTACATGCATTTAAAATGTGCCCCCTGTGACAACTTGTGACTGAATTTCATGAAGGGGTAGATCTCTGAATTCACTTACAACATCAGTGAATATCGCTCGGTAAATCCAACTTTCATTTTGTCAGACAAAGCTATTTTAGAGTCTGATTGATCTATTGAATGTAGAAAAAGTCAACAATATATAAAAAATTAAATAGTCAACTTTGAGGATATTTAGTATGAGCACTGATGAAATAATTTGTTTTTGGCTAAAGCATGGGGACTTATGATCTATGTAGGGTTTTTGATTATATTTTGTTGTAAAAGTCACCATTAGAGTGATTAGTCTTCACTATTATGTAAAAGTAATGCTCAGCTTAACTTAAAATGCAAGCTTACTGAGCTTCTGCAGGTTAATAAAATATTTTGGAGTTTTTATTATATTATGTTTGATGAAAGTACAAACCAACTTTAATTAAGTTTATGCAACTTTTGTTTCCATAAGCTGAGTATACTCAAAGTCCTGAAGCTGGTGGCCTCAAGTTTTTTTTTTTAGTTTTCTCAAGATCTGAATTTTTTGTATATAAATACTCTATATATACTGTATATACTGTACATACTGTATTAGACATTCACACATAACCAACATTTGAGTAGTCTGTTCTTTGCTGCTGCCAACGATATACCAGGACAGATTAGCATTTACACTACAAATATGATGTGGTCACATGCATTTTGACTACCTCCAAATATAGTTTGAGTGACTGGATCACAAAACATATTAGACCCCTTTTAAATCTGAGAAGAAATACCAGGTGTAAAAGAGCTCTCAAGTCATTGAGCTGCTTGTGTGACTCAAATAATAAGTTACTGTATGAGGATGTATTTAACAGAGAATTCTACGTTGTATTTCAAAAGCAGTAGCCTGTGGACACTATTCCTACAGCTGAGAATGTGGGTACTGTACTCCCCGAGGAAGGTGTAATACAGCTTTGCTGTATAATCTGGCACCGAGCCGTTTCTCTGGGCTTTTGTGTTTATAAGTCTCCAGCTCTTCCATATAAGGGCCGTTCTGTACTCTGCAGCCCATATGAGTGATCTCTAGCTGGACACTAAGATAGGCGGGCTGGCCTCATAGGAAAGAGATCTTGTGCAGTGTGTCACCGCAAGACATGCTATGCATAAAGGAGTGGCAAATCAACAACAAAACCTCTGTGATCACTCAAACAATCAGAAAAACATGTCTGCAACCCACCATGCACATATATACACTAAAAAAAACTAAATGGGGCATTGATTTTCACCTTTACGAAATAAAACGTCACTGTTTGAAAACTGGAATACAGGCATTCACGACACACTCACATAGACAGATGTAAAAACAAGAAGTCTTACCCTGCGGCGGCACTTCATCCTTGTCCCTCTCTTTTTCTCTCTCTCTTTCTCTTTAAGGGAATCCCTCGCTCCTGGTGTTCTTCACTAATAATCTTCAGGGTGAGTCTGACAAGTTTGTGTGTGCATCTTATCGCATGAAAGTAGTTCCTCTCGGTTCGGCATGTAACACACACCGAAATCTTCTACCCTGTCATATACTAAAGCACACACATCCATATTCACACATGCTGACGGTCCATCCTCTACACTTACATATTAAAACAGCTTTCCTCCCTCTCTCTTTCTCTCTCTCTCTCTGTCTCTAACTAAAACAAATGCATTCGTTCTGTTCTACTCTGTTGCTCTAGAAGTCCATGAAGGGAAAACACTGTTGACAGTCTCCCACACTCAAAGCCCCACCCACAGAGGATTAGTCAAAAGACCACTTTAAAAACTTCTCTCTCATTCCTGTTATCAAACTTTATGCTTTACTTTCTAAGTCAGTCCCTGTCCGACTCACCCTCTTTTTTTCCTGTCCTCAATAGATCTCTTTATTCAATAGTTTCTATTTCCACCATCTGCTATCCTACTCTTTCCCTTTGCACACAGAAGAAAAGCAGGGCTGAGTCATCCCTTTACAAAGGAAGGAAAGAGAAAAAGGGGTTGCAGGTTTAGCTCTTGCAGAATGGAACTTGTGTGAGTAAGAGGCAAATAAACAATGAGAGAGTTGGGAAAATAGTCTAACATCATCTGATTGCAGACACTACATGCGAACATGACTATAGGCTATAAAAATGGCCAAACAAATGTCACATGATTCAACCTCAGAACATTTTTTATCTTTTCTTCCTTTCGTTCTCTCCCTCTTCAGCCCCTCCCTCTCTTTCCTCATATACTCATGCACATTTGTAACAAATGATCACTGAATAGCTGTCAGATGCATAAATGTCATTTGTCAGCAAAAGCCTAACTATTTGTCTCTCTCTCTCTTTTTTGGCCTGTTTTCTCTCTCTGTCTTGAAATTACAAACAGATGAAGCACAGAAACACTGCAAACACATCTGAGCCTATCAAAAGCTAATTTTGACCAGAGTTAGACTGAACAAGCAGTGCTTCAAGATTACAACAGCACTGGGACATTTCCCTGTTTGCAGTGCGAGAAGAAGCAGAGTTGTGTGATTTTGTGTGTGTGTGTTTTTTTTGGTCTGTGTTTTCTCACTCTAGGATCACTTGGGTTTCTCTCATCAGAGTGGAGCAGGCAGAGAACAGGAAGGTTGGACACTTCAATAAAGCTTGATGCCCCTTTTGGAAATATTTTATTGCACTCTATGCACACCTACTGCCTACATATTTCCACTAAAAACTCTTTCTGACATATTTCTAATAATTGTCAATCACAACTAAATACATTACAATACAGTATAGTATATTAATTTTAATTAATTAATTGTCAATCACAACTAAATACATTACAGTACAGTATAGTATATACAGTATATTATTAACTATAGTAAATTAAAAATTTTAGTGTGTATATATATTTTGCTCAGTTTTCCCACAATTTCCATACATCATGCTGCATGGAAGTTGCAGTGGCCACTGAAGGCTAAATTTGGAAACAATTCTGCATAGAATACATTGGCAAAGGGAAGAAAAATGTGACCTAACAGGGGAAATGTTGTCTGAAATACTTAATATTAACTTTTTGGTGTATTGAACGGTTGTATTTTCTCAGATATTTAATCATTATCGCACTCTTACTGTTGTACTGTATATACTTTAGTATAAGCACAACTATGATGATTTCCAGCGGTCAAATTAAAACCTTGCTGATATTCAGTACAAGAGAAAGACTACAAGTGTAAAATACTGACCAAAAAAACAATATCAAGTTTCAGGAATTCTCACTCTATTCACATCTTGTATTTTGAAAATCATATTGGGCTGTGTTTAGCCAAACCATCCATTTGTCATACAACTGGAAACACTTGGCTTATGTAGAGGAGGCCTGCCTCTTAACCATATTTATAGGGCGAGTGGAAAACAGGAAGGAGAACGGAAGACAAGATTTTAATGAATCCAGCGTGCCACTTATAATACGGATACAGAAGGTTGTGCTCTTTCATAATCTCCTATTCAAATATAAAAGCAAAACTACTCATGGTTACCAATGAGCTGTTCATGCATATTGCCAGCTGAAGGGCTGAATAAATTATTCACAGCATCAGACATAGCAAACACATAGCAGTGATGGGCATGGTGACCATGGTAGTAGACAACAAACACACATAAACACACCCCCACACATCTAGTATATAATTAATCCGGTGATGAACACATGATAAAGACAAACTCAAACCAGCCCCCTTCAGGCTCATGCAATGCCCTTTCAAACTCACACATAAACAAACAGTTTGTGTGTGTTCTGTAAGATCACTTCAGAGCCACTGTCTGTTTTTTGCTTCAGTATGGTTTGGCATTTCCCTTCTCTACATCAACAATTGGGCCTTTCATTAAAAAGCAAACATGCACACATACGAGAACACATGTACAAACATCCTGTACTGAACACCTTTGTTGCTGCTTCACCACATCACTTATCACTCAAAAAACAGACCTCTAACACACTGACACACATAAAACACAAATATTTTCTGGCACTCATTGAAGTGAACATTACACATTTAACTGAAAGCATCTCTGAGCAGACATGGCATCTTTGTATGTTTGCTGTGCAAATCAGTTCAGAATCACTGTACAGTCTGAAACACGGACTAAACAAAACAGCTGCAAAGGTTGGGATCTGTCTTCAGTCACAAGACCACACAGAAGTAATGCTGTAATGGATTGCAAGTACAGTGAATTTGAGTCGAATTTTTCAAGGAATTTCACTTTTGTGGATGTTCCTAAAGAGACTTAATTAATTGCCAGTAAACTATTTTGTCTCCTTGCTAATTAAAGATACGTTAAAGGAATAGTTCACCTAAAATGAACATTCTGTTATTATTTACTTACCTATATTTTGAAAAATGTTTCAGCCGTTTTTGTTCAAACAATGAAAGACAGTGGGGTCCAAAATAAATAGTATGGGGGAAAAAACACTGAGACACTTTTGAGACCCACAGAAGAAATAAAGTTATACCGGTTTGGAACAACCTGAGAGTGAGTAAATGATGAAAGAATTTTCATTTTTAGATAAACAATCCCTTTAAGGTAAACAGCTAAGATGCTGGATTCTTTATCAAGCCTTTGTGCAGTTTGGAACAGCTTCAATCCCAGAGACACCTTGATGAATTCCTTCCTCTGAATAATGTAAACAGTCTAATTTATCAAATCACTATGGCAGATCATTCTTGCAAGCAGTACTCTCTAAAGCAGGAGAACAATATTATTTTTCTTCTACTTGACCCAGCATGCATGGATGAGTATTAATGCTTGTTTATAGTGATACTGTGTGCAAAGGCTCCCTGCATTAACCGTTTCATGGAGCCAATTTCACCCCATACCACTCTGTTCCAAAGTGAAATTGCTATAATTTGGGACTTGGGAATGAACACATGGCCCCTGGTAATTTCATTGGCCCTGACTGGAACAGAACAATGCAGAAATACACTGTTGCAAGAGTTGCAAAAGTGATACATTCCCTTAAACAGCACCATGCATGTTGATGGCAAAACATGCTTTCTCCGACTATAAAGAAGGACATTGATAATAATACTTCCCAGGTATGTTCTAATGCAATATTCAAGTTACATTTCAGAGTACACACATATATTTTACTTTAGTATTGTTTATGATTTTGATGAAGCTAATAGGGTTCTGCTTTTATTATTAGGCAAATAGCTGCCTGCAGGTGTCACCAACATGTCACTGAAGTGACTTGCTCAACAAACAAACTTGCTCACACTGAGAAGATGTAACAGTTGGAATTAGTCCTAGTATACATTTTGCTTGGAGTGACATACAAGATGAGAACTCCCGTTCAGAGATGCTTTCGGTGGTTACCAGGATAATAGTCATAAAATGACTAAAAAAAGTATCACACACAGTTGCGATACCTACCGTTTCCATTGTAATAATCGTCAATGCTATCTGAATTTGGGAATAAACAGCACTGAAGTTAACTGAAAAAATCATTAGACCAGCTACGATAGACAAAGAAACGAGAGAGAAGTAGACTGAAACTGAGACAAGGACACATGTGTAATGTAATCACTGAAGCTTAGTTTGGGCTGCAAACACATAATAATGCAACAGGCCAACCTTTGAAACACACTGAGATCTAAAATGACTGTTACAGACAGTTTTGTAACAGTTGTCTAGAGGTAATGAAGTACACTCCCAGAAAAACAGGAACAAAAGCTGTCACTGGGGCGGTACCCTTTCAAAAAGTACATACCATTTTTACCCCAATGGGTGCATATCAATACCTTGAAAGTACTCATTAGTACCCAAAGTGTACATATCAGTACCTAAATGGTACATATTAGCACCTTTTAAAAGGGTAACAACCTAGTGACAGCATTTGTACCTTTTTTATGAGACTGTACATCATTGCTTTAAGCAATGTAAACTGTGTATAAATTAAAATGTAAATAACTGATGAAAATGCTTTTCATATTCGGTTTATCTAAAAAAAAAAAAAGAGTGTGTGGGGGGGTGCTATAGGCGTTTCTTCGACAATGCACATGTTTGTGGACTTTTAGACAATTCTAGACAAAGCACTTAAAACACTTCACATTCTCACTAGTTCATTTTTATTTGACAACTAAAATGTTTTAACAGTGGACATGCACAAGAGATTTCTGTCACTTTTTTTCTGGTTTCCACCACAATGTCACTTTCACCACATTTCAAATTATGTATTTTTTTTTTTTGGTACAATTCTGTGGTGAAATTACATTTTATACATCTTTATAATAAAATAGCCGACTCAGGCTAAGGCTAGTGTCAAAACTAGCATTTTTTGTATCCTAAATAAATTCTCTTCACTGATGCTATACTTTGGAAAAAGAATATGTAAGTAAAATTGTTTAAGGTAGTGGAAATGAGATGCCACAACTTAGATCATACAGTCATAATGTTTGAAAAAAAAATATATAAATAATTTCTACATGACAAGTATCAAAATGGTTTATGGTTATTTCACTATAAATCTATACATGAAATCCATTTTGAGATATGAAGCAAAATAAGTTTGCAAGGCAGCTTTAATGAGGAAAAAGTGAAATCTGATTGCAACCAAATCTCTACAACATAAAAATGCCTAAAGGTGAAGAAGCACCCATACACATTACAGGAGGTGAAACGTAATAACATATCATTCTGCTTTTTGACATTTGAGTTTGTATAGTACATTATTAGGATTTTGGATGCTTTTTCTTCTTTTATGAGGACATAAAATCGTGTAATTCACACCTCAAAAAAGTTTGGGGTTGCCTTAAATTAATGCGATTCTATAGGTTTGGTGAAACATAATTGAACCTAATTAAATAAAGTTGTAATTACTGTTCACTCCTAATTACTTATACCACAAGACGTTTAGAAATAAGAGAAAGCTAACGGGCCGCATGGAGCGCGAGACACGGTTGA